CTGGGCAAAATTTTAGCTTTCTATCTTAATTTGTTATATGGGGGCTATACGATATCGTGGACCGATATAGCCCATCTTCGAACTTGACCTGCCTGCAGACAAAAGGGAGATCTGGGCAAAATTTTAGCTTTCTATCTTAATTTGTTTAGGCAGACGGACGGACAGGGCTAAATCGTCTTAGAATTTACGCTGATCAAGAATATATATACTTTGTTGGGTCCAAAATGATTATTTCGATGAGTTACAAACGGAATGACGAACTTAATATACCCCCCATACTATGTATGGTGGAGGGTATAATAAGATATATCGGTCCACGGATAGCCCCCATATAAAAGTACCTCCCGATATTCGGCATTTTGCTGGTTTTAGCCACATATTTCCAGTAATTTGTCAAAAAAAAAATTAGTATTTGTTGTTTGCAATGGGTTCCAGCTTCGGTGACAAAACATTGGTTATATAGATCCACGTTTTCGTATAGCCCCCATATAACGGAACCTCCCGATATTCGGTATTTTGATGGTTTTAGCCACATTTGTACACGGATTTGTCACAAAAATTGGTATTTGTAGTTGCTTATAGGCTCTAGCTCTGATGGAGGAACATTGTACCCGTATAACGGTTCCTCTAAATATTCGGTATTATGATAGTTTTACCCAAACTTTTCTACGGATTTGTCTAAAAATTGATATTTGTAGTTCGTAATTGGTTCTAGCTCCGATGGCAGAATATTTAAAATCTAGGATCCATCGGATATTCAGTATTTTGACGATTTAAGCCACATTTTCTAATAGATTTGTGTAAATTGTGTAAAATTTGATATTTAAGACTTGCAATAGTTTTTATTTGTTGTAGTATAAATTTGTCTGTATAAATTCCCGTCTTAGCATGGCCCCCATATAACGACTCCCACCATTTGCCTACCGATCTTACTGGAGTTTGTAGTTTAAAGTGGAACAGATTTGAATCCAGATACTTTTACATAAAAATGTTGTCTTTACCCAATGGCGGAGGGTATTAGAAGTTCGCCCTGCCGAACTTAATGCCTTTTTACTTGTTAATCCTATTATCGTAATCTGCTGCATTTTCCCCATAATTATTGATACAATTAAATTTTGTTGCACAGTGTAATTAGATCTGGTGTGAATGTGGAACTTTCATGAGCCTTTCTCACAAAGTGTCCACTTTTTTTATAACGAAACTCTCAGAAATTGCGAAAATTTTAACCACTTTTCTTCAAAGTTCGCACATTGCAATATTCGAACTAAAATTGGATCTAGTGTAAAATTGGGATATGTAGGCCCATTCTTTATGGTAAATTCCCAAAGAAGGACATTTTTGGTGTCTGTTAGTGTCGGATTTCGAGAAAAAGATGTGCTGAATTGTGCCAGGTTTGTGCTCAAATGCACCGATTTTTTGAAATTCGAAAAATTTTCTAAGATACTTGAAAAAAGATTTATTTCGAAAAAAAAATCTGAAAGAATTGCATTTTTCGAATTTTGATAAAATTAAAGTTGTGCTGAATTTTACTAAACTTGTGCCCATTTGCAGCGTTATTTTTTTTTGGATCTCTCTTACAAAAATCGAAAAAAAGATAACTTCGAGAGTATGCCAGAATTGCAACTTTGCATATTTGCATATTTTTATACCCTCCACCATACTATGGAGGGTATATTAACTTTGTCATTCCGTTTGTAACTCCTCGAAATACTCATGTCAGACCCAACAAAGTATATATATTCTTGATCAGCGTAAAATTCTAAGTCGATTTAGCGATGTCCGTCTGTCTGTCTGTCCGTCTGTCTGTTGTAATCACGCTATCTTTCGAACGAATTGAGATAGAAGGCTAAAATTTTGCACACATGTTTATGTTTTCAGTAGGCAGGTTAGGCAGGTTCAGTTCGTAAATGGGCCATGTAGGTCCACGTTTTCATATAGCCCCCATATAACGGTACCTCCGGATATTCGGTATTTTGATGATTTTAGCGACATTATTCACCGGAATTATTTCAAATTTGGTATTTGAAGTTCGAAATGGATACTACAGCCTAAGACTGGAAATTGTCTGTGCAGGTCCATGTCTTCGTATAGCCCCCATATAACGGTACATCCCGATATTCGGTATTTTGATGATTTAGCGACATTATTCACCGGAATTCTTTAAAATTTGGTATTTGAAGTTCGAAACTGATACTTCAGCCTAAGACAGAAAAATGTCTGTGCAGGTCTACGTCTTCGTATAGCCCCCATATAACGGTACCTCCCTATATTCGGTATTTTGGTGATTTTAGCGTCATTATTCACCGGAATTGTTTGAAATTACGCATTTAGAGTTCGTAATTGAAACAACTGTCTATGACAGAAAATTGTCTATGCAGGTCCACGTCTTCGTATAGCCCCCTTATAACTGTACCTCCCTATATTCGGTATTTTGGTGATTTTAGCGTAATTATTCACCGGATTTTTTTCAAATGGTGGAGGGTATTCAAATTTCGGCCCGGCCGAACTTACTGCTTTTTTACTTGTTTCTCAATATCTTTAACCGTTTTCGAAATTTGATAATTTCGAAGAAACCCAGTATTTTTCAGTAAATCGCTGTAATTGTTTTAAAAATCTAAATATCGAGATGCGGTGCTGATTTGTGCTCACTTAGCAAAAATTTTTCCTCTATTTCTTTATTCGTTACAATCCAAAAAAATTGTAAAATGTGGAATTTTTATTTTATTTTCTGAAAAATACAGATTTTTCGAAATTGTCATATCTCGAAACGAAATTTGTTTGCATTTTGAACGAAAAATTCGGCACAATTCTTTGTTTCGATATTCGAACATTGCAATTCCAATGGACACCACATGAAGGTCATAGAGAAATAAATGGTCGAATGCTAGGGGTCGTAAAACGGATTAAAACTCTTCAACTTGTTTTCAATATCGCTTCACGTTTTTGCATTAAAAGCGTTTTTAAGGTCTTGTTAACTTTTTCCAGCCAAAATGGCTGTAGTTTGATATTTTTAAATCAAAATATGTAGAACACATCTTCGTAAAACAATTACAACTGAGATCCGTACCACTACGCTATAATTATTGAAATTTGAAAGACGTTGCAAATTTTTTCAAAAAACACTTTGAATTTCGGAATTTCGATGCCTCCATCTCCACTCAGGTCCCAAAAATGGATGTGGCCCAATATAACGGTTTTGGGAATATTGATGTTCAGGACACAATTTTCTTTGACATTCTAAGATCTCCTTTAACGAAAATTCGTCATACGTTTTTGGGTTTCAATTTTTTGCCTTGAACCAACATTAATTTGATATTTGGAAATTATGTAAAAGCCCAGTGTCCAGCCCAGTTCCTAATGGTTGCTTGAGAAAATCGTTTGATTTTCTTTAATTAAACACACATATTTATATTCAAAAACAATTATATTTATTTTTTTATACCCTACAACACTATGTGTTGGGGGTATTATAAGTTTGATTGGGCCAAAAATTATGTAACACCACGAAATATTGGTTTCCCACATAGGAAAGTATATATGGATCTTCCTAGCTCGCCGAGCTGAGTCGATCTAGCTATGTATGTCCGTCCGTCCGTCTGTCCGTCTGTCCATGTTAATTTGTAATCACTCTACAGGTCGCAATTATGGCCCGATCTTCACGAAATTTAGTATGGAGGTGGGGTTAATGTCAGAATAGAACCCTATTTCTTTTGGAGATGATCGCCAAATGTTTAGGGGTTGAAATGGACCAAATACTGAAAAAATGTCGGATTTTGCAGTAGCTATACAGGTCGCATTTATAGACCAATCGACGCGGAATTTCGCATGTAGCTAGAGTTTAGGACGGGGAAGAAGCCTGCCAATTTGGGTGGTCATCGGATTATATTTAGCGGGTAAAATAGACCATATCTTTTGTGTTGAAAAAAATCTAAATTTTTCATTAAACCGTGAATATTTTAAATCCCGGCGAAATCACAAAGCCATCACAAGGTTACTTCTGACCTTTACTTTGATGTTAACATCCAACAAACCGGATATATAGCAAAATAGGTGCGATATATATGTCTATCAAAGAAGATATGCTTGAAAGATCTCTTATAAGTCGAGAACGGCTGAACTGATTTCGACAGTTCTCATTAATTCAGAATGGCCTCTTGGCAGGAAAGAAAAAACGTCTTAAAAAATCGCATAAAAATATCTCTATAAAGATGAAAATATTGATTTTGTAAAATTTTCTCATATTTTTTCAATTTGTCATATTTTTGGCATATTTTCATTTTGAATTAAACATTTAGTAAAATTTCTACAGCTAACAAAACTAAGTAGTTAGGATATCAGTATATCATATACAGATCGAATTTATGGCCCGATCCTTACGAAATTTTGCATGGGGATAAGATGAGGGTCAGAATAGAAGCCTACTCTTTTTGGAGATGATCGCCATATATTTAGGGGTTGAAATGGACCAAAAAAATGCAACATTGTCAGCAGGTCGTAATTATCGCCCGATCCTCGCGCACATTTGAATGGGGGTTACGGGCATTGCAAAAAGCCAAGCAGTTTTGGATGGCCATCCAAAAATATTCAATGTGTGAAATAGTTTGCCAACTTTTGTAGACAAAATACGAAAATCTCCATTCCAGTGACTCTATGGAGAATTCACAAATACAGGAAAGACGCACTTCTGACTATTTCGTTAACGCTGAGTTCGTGGAAGAATATAGTCAAATGTCTGTATCTCATATAGATGCGTTTCAGTCAAAAGCCAATAATAAATGTTAATCTTTTGCCACTTCTGAGAGACAATGGGTCTTTGGGAAATATTGGTTCCATATCTAGGAAGACCACTTACGTGCAACATTTACCAATAAATTTGAAATGAGCAAATTAGTTAAAGTTGCTATTATTCGAAAATTAGAGAACGAAACCTGATGGTTTTCTTTTATTATTTGTTACAATATCTTGTGTAATTCTTTCGAGTATCTCGCCTATATGAACTGTATCGTTTATTATGGTGTTGTAGGGTATTCAACGGTCGGCCCCGCTCGACTGTAGCCTTTGCTTACTTGTTTTATTTTGCGAAGGTCAGATAACTTATACAAAGAAAATCAACAAATAAAAGTAACAGAACTCATTATTTAATACCACTTATTAACCTCATATTTTTCCGATGTGGAACACAAATTGGGATATTGGGAATTTCTACCCGAAGTGCATGAAGAGGCGGGAGAACTGCAACTCTTATAGATGGGGAAACCCAACATATTGGTTGTGGCATAATTACAGGCAATCAAGAAAATCTGTCTATCCCCAGAAATCCTGGTGTCATCGTAAGTGGCAGCAGCACAACCCACACGAACATTGCGATCTGCCATCATTACTGTGAAATGGCCAATCATACTGAAAAATAGAAAAAAAAAATTAAATAAAAATAAAATGGTTAATATATTCCAAATTTCCAACTCACGGTCCGCTATAGCCAACCGGGAAATCATCAATGTAAGACATTTTCACATCCTTCACTTCATCATACCACATGGCGAAAGATTTTTGGAAAAGTGTACTGTAACTTTGTTTACCCCAGAATGATCTCCAGGCCAAGTTTTGCCCAGCATATTGGAAGGTTTCAGTGTTGCGACACTTGTCATGAGACATCTTACATTGCAGGACATTATAGGCAGCAACTTTAGCTAATTCATCATCCCATTCCATGGTGGCCATACGACAAGCAGGTGCAAGACCATTGACACCACCGCCAGCTACCAAATTACGTTTTTCATTGTGGGCACGAACAATTTCGGCTTTTAGATTGTTGTCGATGGTCACGAAAGCGGCGTTCGAGGGACATGAGCTGGCAAATTGCTGAAATTGAATGTTCATTTGTCATTAAAATAAATGTTTTTGATACGGAAGTCATGTTAATCCTTTGGGACTTTTCGAGGATAATAGAATTATTGTTGCATTCATTAAAATAAATGTTTTTGATACGGAAGTCATGTTAATCCTTTGGGACTTTTCGAGGATAATAGAATTATTGTTGCATTCAGCTTCTGCACATACCTTTTTGCCACAGGCAACGTGTGTCACTCCTTTATTGCACAAATTTGTTGAACAATAATCGGTGGCCAAAGCCGAAACAATAACCGTACTGATCATTAAAATTTTGACAAACTGATTCATTTTTCACCTCTAACTTTCTTTAATTCAAACTCCAGATGTTGTTGAACTGATAGAGAATTGTTGAAAATTTACCCTTTAAATACTAAAAAATTGACAGATGGTTCTGAGATATGTTGAAAATCAAGGCCATTACAATATACGTTAATAATATCATTTAAATGTAACAGCTACAGATGTTTCCCAGCGCCGTCTGCCACCTGTTCTTCTAGAGCAAAAAGAAAAAGCTATTGTTTATCTAAACTCTCTTAAGCTGTGTGTCGGTTATTTTCTTTATATAAAAGAAAAATATTTATTTAACCCTGAAAGGCATATTTTGAAATTTAATGGAAGTTTTTGAAAATGATTATTTCATAAACTATAATATATTCTTATTTGTGTTTTCAATTGTGAAATGAATCATTGTAAATGCGCAATTTATGTTTTTGAACATTTCGTAGACTACGAATATAAATATGAGAAACCATAATTTGTATTGAACGAGCCAAGGTAACACAGAAGGCGAATCAATGAAAATATTAAAATTTTCAGTATCGAAAGTTTTTTCCCTCAGAGAATGGAGAATTTCCACTTACTTTAATCTCATTTCGTATTACTTCATGTCCTCGAAAGTTAAAAGAATAGGCAAAACTCACATCATTTATAACTTGTTTCAATTTTATAAAAAAAACGCTTTTTTCGGCAAACGATCTTCTCCACTTTTCAATTTTAAATGTAATTACAATAACTGGTATTGACAGCTAAATTGGTAGTGAGTGTCTGTGCACTTTCTGTGCGACTTCTTCATAAGCCGTGGGTCGAGCCAAACTCTATAAACATGTAATACAGCAGGCGATATATTAAAAATATTGTCATATGGAGGATATAGAGGTATTTACACGAAGGCAAAACTTCTTAATAATTAAAACTACCATAGCAAGGGAGAATCCCATCCTGATGTCTGATGAGAATATGGTATTTATCGGTGCACTTATCCTCTCTTAACGGGTTAAACGAAACTTTGAATACCATCCACCCTTTGCAACGAATAAGGAAATTTTCAAAAAAATAAAATCCATTAAAAATTCTGTTAAAATCTTTAAAATACCGAATAGCGGAAATTTGCCGATATATACCTATATAGACAGTTCCCTTTCAGGGGGTAAAGTGCTCACAAAGAACTCCCTGTGTAGAATTTCACACAATTCTGTTGAAAAATGTGGCTAAAATCCTCAAAATACCGAATATCTAGGGGTACCGTTATATGGGGGCTATACGATATCGTGAACCTATATAGATAATTATCTTCCAGGGGATAAAGTGCTCATAGTGAACTCCTTTTGTGGAATTTCAGACAATTTCATTGAAATATGTGGCTAAAATCAGTAAAATACCGAATATCTGGTAATACCTTTATATGGGGGATATACGATATTGTGGACCTATATAGACAGTTCCCTTTCAGGGGTTAAAGTGCTCACACAATTCTGTTGAAAATGTGGCTAAAATCCTCAAAATACCGAATATCTAGGGGTACCGTTATATGGTGACTATACGATATCGTGAACCTATATAGATAATTATCTTCCAGGGGATAAAGTGCTCACAGTGAACTCCTTTTGTTTGAATTTCAGACAATTCCATTGAAATATGTGGCTAAAATCATTAAAATACAGAATAAAGGGGGGTAACGTTATATGGGGGATGTACGATATCGTGGACGGATATAGCCCATCTTCTAAGTTGACCTGCCTGCAAATAAATTCGTTTGACTGTAGCGTGATTACAACAGACGGACAGTCGGATGAACGGACAGGGCTAAATTTTACGCTGATCAAGAATATATACTTTGTTGGGTCTAAAATTATTATTTCGATGAGTTAAAAACGGTGATACGGTCAAAACGTGCCTCAAAGAAATAATGATTTTAGACTACAGGACTCTTTAGACCAAGTCCGTTTCAGGACATTTGGAGTCGATCTAGCGATGTCCGTCCGTCTGTCTGTCTGGGTGGTGCGCACGATAACTTTCGAAGGGAGTATCCGATTTGTCCCAAACTTGGTACATCGTAATATTATTATCAATCTTAGATCAAGTTTGGAGATGGGCAATATCGGTCTGGTACCTCCCCCACAAAACATCGAAATTTAAAAAAAATGTTTTATTGCAGGAATGAGAAAGGATAATCCGATTTTGCTCCAATTTGGCACATTTTAATATTTGCATCAGTGCTCAGGTCAGGTGCGGTCCGAAAATGAACAATATCGGCCCACTCCATCAAGTCAGGATTGTGAATAATTACAACTATTATAAAATGCGATGAAAGGGTCCGATTGTCTTCATATTACGCACATCACAATATTTTTATCAACGCAAGGTCTGGTGTGAAGATGGAATATATCGGTCCACTCCTTCTGATACCTGTCCCACAAAGGATCAAAATTTTCAATATTATTATCAACTATAACTTGCGAAACTAGTCATCGATTCTTTACATCTTACTATATCGAAATATTTCTCTCAACCGGAAATCTGAGATGAATATGGAATTTATGATTTTGCATTAAATTGGATATAAATGTTCGATTTTCTTGTAATTTTTGCCCATTCCAAAATGAAAGTGAAATATTTCGATCGACTATATATGGTAAATCACGCACATTTTAACATTTTCTAAAAATTATCACATATGTCATAAAAAGTTAAGGAAGTAACCAATTTACTCCGAACCTGGCACGTTGCAATATTAATATCATAATTATTAAGGTCCGATACGAAATGCACAATATTAGTCCATTCTTTCGGAACCTACTCCACAGAGGTCAACAATTTGAATAATCATAACAGAGGTCAACATGTTTTTAATGATCTTACATAGGATGAGGTTATGTATCTGTCGGCAAAACCAATTCACTGATGGGGTGCAGGATAGACTTACCAAAGGGTTTCTGAAAATTCGAACTTTTAGGTTACGAAAACTTCTAAAAGGTTACCATTTGAAATTATGAGAGCAGATGGAGCAAAAAACTTGAAATTTGCTACAAATTGGTATTGGATGAACAAATAGTGCTTGCAGTTTAAAATTTTGTATATGGATCGCTGTTAATGTGTAGCCCAAACGTATGGAGCTAGTTTAGGAAGTGTGTACTATAATTGTATGAAAAGTAGTGAATGGTACAAAACTTGGTATACGAAACTATCGTGGTGGTTTGAAACGTCCTATAATGCTAAATGGTACTATAAAGTACGCAAAATGCTAAATGATACTAACTTTAGTATTGGTGAAAGAGATAGAGATACAATTCTGAAATTTGATATTGAGGTCTCTATTGGTATCTGGGATTGAGATCTTGTGGTGGTTTTACTTTCGAAAAGTACTATATTAAACTAAATTTGGTATTGGGTGAAGGTATAGAGTTAAGACCGGAAAATGTTATACTACGACAACTGATGGTGTCTAGGTTTCAGATATGGAAGGCTTTTGCAAATGAGTACTTTAATTGTTCGAAAATGGTACTAAATTTGATTTGATTTTGATTGATTTCTGGAATTGAAATGTGGATGTGGTTTCAGAATACAGGGTGAGATGAAAAAACTGCAACCAATTTCAAACTGCTGTCATTTCTAGGCCACTCGTCCGAGAGCTGTTAAAATTATTCCAGTGACACCTCATTATATTGTTTACAAGCGTTCAAAAGCATTTTGGTGAGAACGTTCAAGAAAAAAAGTTATTCGTGTTGGAATTCAACGTGATAGTGTGATTTTTTTATATTTGGCTGGAAAATCACAAGTGACTATCGTTAGTGCACTCCAGCATTTAAATCTGAATAAATCTTTTGTGTCTCGTACCATCGCTCGTTACCGTAGCATAGTCCCACGACAAGGAAGTGGACGGAAGAAAACATCAAAATCAGCAGATATGGTTCGAAAAGTAAAGAAGCGATTTGATCGAAACCCGCGTCGCAGTGGCCGAAAAATGGATCGTAGGCTGAACATATCGCAATATTCCATTCGGCAAATATTGAAAAATGAGCTCGGGGTAAAACCATTTAAATTCCAAAAAGTGCAAGAACTTACAACGCAACAGAAGCAAAATCTACCAAAAAGAGCTAAAGAGTTGCTTTGCTTGGCCGAAAGTGGTGAACTGTTTTGGTTTTTTTCCGATGAGAAAACATTCGTTGTCCAGCAGTTTGTAAACAAACAAAATGATTGTGTTTACTTGCAAAGAGGTCAGCTGAAAATGTGTACCATCGGTTGGCCACCAGAACTCAAGCGCCGGCCATGGTGATGGTGTGGGCCGCCATAACAGCCGATGGTCGCTCTCCGCTCGTATTAATCGACCGTGGCATCAGAATAAATGCCGAATATTATCGCGAAAATATTCTGGAGGGTGTATTAAAGCCTTGGCCACGCAAACATTTTGGCCGCAGACCTTAAACATTCCAACAGGACTCAGCACCATCGCACTCAGCACGCGCCACCCAAGAATGGTTACAAAATGAGGTTCCGTGCTTCATTTCCAGCGTACAATGTCCCCCAAAAATCTCCGGATACCAATCCGTTGGACTATTGTGTCTGGAGTATTTTTTGGAAAGCACAGTTGACACTAAAAAATACCAAAGTGTCGATCACCTCAGGCAAGCGCTTCGCCGGGAATGAGCCAAAATACAGTAGAGCAACATTCGGGTAGTGTGTGACGGTTTCATTGGCCGTTTGAAGCCCATAATTAGTGCCAAAGATAACCAATTTCAAGAAATCTAAACTTATTCTAAAATTTGATGCTATTTCCGACATTTTTGCTTTCATTCAATAAAATTTAAAAAAAGTAAAATAATGGCGTTTGACTTTGTTGCAGTTTTTTTATCTCACCCTGTAGTCCGAACAGAAAATTTGGTGGTGGTTTTCAGTCGAACTTCAGAGTTATAGCCTAACAAATTTTTGTGACCATGAAATGTAACATGAAAATATTCCTTCGTTGCCCAAAAGGAATTTACAACACATCGACTTTGACCCCCAATTTGTGTCACAGTGTAATGATAAATCAGAGAATTTATATTATTTTAATTATATTTTATTTCAAAAAAAGATCCAATAACAAACAAACATCAGCAGAAAACTATTAGCAATACAGTTTAATACCACTTATTAACATCATATTTTTCCGAAGTAGAACACAAATTGGGATATTGAGAATTTTTACCCGAGGTACATGAAGTCGCTGGAGAACTGCAATTCTTGTATATGGGGAAACCCACCATATTGGTGGTGGCATAATTACAGGCAATCAAGAAAATCTGTCTATCCCCAGAAATTCTGGTATCGTCGTAAGTGGCAGCAGCACAACCCACACGAACATTACGATCGGCCATCATAACTGTGAAATGGCCAATCATACTGAAAAATAGAAAAAAATGAAATAAAAATAAAATTGTTATTATATTCCAAGTTTCCAACTCACGGTCCACTGTAGCCAACCGGGAAATAGTTAATGTAAGACATTTTGACATCCTTCACTTCATCATACCACATATCGAAAGATTTTCCGAAAAGTGAACTATAATTTGGTGTACCCCAGTACGATCTCCAGGCCAAGTTTTGTCCAGCATATTTAAAGGATTCCGTGTTGCGACACTTATCATGAGACATCTTACATTGCAGAACATTATAGGCAGCAATGGCAGCTAACTCATCATCCCATTCCATGGTGGCCATACGACAGGCAGGTGCAAGACCATTGACACCACCTCCGGCCACCAAATTACGTTTTTCATTGTGGGCCCTAACAATTTCAGCTTTAAGATTGTTGTCGATGTTGACAAAACCGGCATTGGAGGGACATGAGCTGGCAAATTTCTGAAAATGTAATTGTTTAGATGAAGTTTTTAAGGCCAATAGATTTGAAGATTTTACACTTTGTTTACTCAATCTTCGATTTTTCTTTTTCGAACTTACCTTCTCACCACAGGCAACATGTGTGACACCTTTATTGCACAAATTTGCCGAACAATAGTCGGTGGCCAATGCCGAAGCAATGAACGTGGTGACAACCAAAATTGCTATGAACTTATTCATCTTCCTTGGTATACGTTTCTACTTTTCACTGATGTTACTTTTTAACTGATGTTAATTTTGAAGAAATGTTCTTCTTAAATACCTAAAATCTGACAGATGGTTTTTAGATTTTTTTATTCTTTTAAGATTGTTTTGATATCAACTGATAAGTCTAAGTAAATATTAGGCTTACAGGTGTTTCCCAACCTTGTTTTGACCTTCCGTCTAGTTTTGATAACTATTTCCACGTGTAATCTTAGATTTGCGTATGTTACGTTTTTCAGTTACGTCAATGTCTGTATGTTTTTGAATAAAAAAAACAAAAGAAAAATATTATAAAGTAAATATTATTGAGATACGTAATTGTAAAATATGGGACTAAATAAAGTCGCTCCAATTGTAAATTTCCATTGGCTAATTCTTAATGAATGTTTTTTTCTACATCATCATTACATCGGTGGCAATATCGGTCCACTCCTTCTAGTATTCCCCCACAAAAGGTCGAAATTTTCAAAATATTTATTTTCTGCACAGAAAGAGAAAGGATAATCCGGTTTTCCTCCAACTTTACAAATCCTAATATTTGCCTTAGTGCTAGGTCAGTTGCGAAAATGTACAATATCGGTTCACTCCATCAAGTGCTTCTCCCACAAAGGGTCCAAATTTTTTATAATTATAACTTTTATAAAATGTGATGTAAGAGTCCGATTGTCTACAAATTTCATGCATCTTAATATTTTTATGAAACCAAGATCTGGTATTAAGACGGAATATATGGGTCCATTCTTTCTGGTACCTCCCCCACAAAAGGACGAAATTTTGAATATCCATTAAGCTCATAAAAAGTGAAATTAATATCCGATTCCATTTAGACTTGGCACATCTGAATATTTCTATTAACATAGGATCTGTTATAAAGACGGTAGAGATAGGACCATTCGCTCTGGTACCTCCCCCACAAAGGGTCAAAGTTTTGAATAACCAAAACGTTTATAAAATCCGAAATAAGCATCAGGTTCTCTTTATGTCTCACACATACAAACATTTCGACTAACTCAAGATCTGTTGTAAAGATGGGATATATCGGTCCATTCTATTAAGCAGAAACCTGACATGAATATCTAATTTATCGATATTTTTATGATTTTGCATAAAATTGGATATAAATGTTCGTATGTAAAAAATACTCAAAATCTATACAAATTTTGCAGCGTGTTCGGAAATGTGCCATATTTTTCAAAAATAAAAATGACACCCTTAGACCAACTTCAAATGTCTTGACACGGATTTGGACCAAAGAAACCTAGGGTCTAAATTTCGATGCGGCACATATGTACCCTCTGTAGCCATATGGCTGAGGGAGACGCCATAAACTATATATATATTCATGATCAGTATAAAATTTGACTTAACGATATCCGTTAGTTTGGTCAAATCTAGATATAGCAACCTTATTTGATACAGAGCTTTGATATCTGGCAAATAGTTTGTATTGTGTGTGGTATGGTTGATATCCATAGAACGGTACCTCCTGATATATGTTGTTTTGATGACTTTGGACACATTTTCCTACAGAATTGTTAAAAATTGGGTATTTAGGGATTATAATGGATTTTATCTCCTGTGGCACAACGTTGTCTGTAAAGGTCCACTTTTTTTGCAGCACACATACAACGGTACCTGCAGACATTCGGCAGATATTAGACCATTTAGGCCATATATTTCATTTGTTTAATATTCCGTTTATGTAATTTATAGCGAGTTCTACCATATACAGGGTGAGATAAAAAAACGGCAACAAAGTCAAACGCAATAATTTTTACATGTTTTTTTAATTTTATTGAAAGAAAGCAAAAATGTCGGAAATAGCATCAAATTTTAGAACAAGTTTATATTTGTTCGAATTGGTCACCTTTGGTACGAATTATGGCCATCAAACGGCCAATAAAACCGCCACACGCTGGCCGAATGTTGCTCTGCGGTATTTTGGCCCATTCCCGGCGAAGCGCTTGATTGAGGTAATCGACACTTTGGTATTTTTTAGTGCCAACCTTGCTTTCCAAAATACTCCAGACACCAAAATCTGTGGATAATAACCAATTTTGGTGGACATTGTGCGCTGCAAATGAAGCGAGGAACCTCATCTTGTAACCATTCTTGATGCGTGCTGAGTGCGATGGTGCTGAGTCCTGTTGGAATGTCCGAGGTCTGCGGCCAAAATGTTTGCGTGCCCAAGGCTTTAATAAACCCTCCAGATTATTTTCGCTATAATATTCGTCATTTATTCTGATACTACGGTCGAGTAATACGAGCGGAGAGAGTCTATCGGTAGTTATAACGGACCGCACCATCACCATGGCCGGCGCTTGAGTTCAGGTGGCCAACCGTAGGTGCACATTTTCAGCTGACCTCTTTGGCAAGTAAACACGATCATTTTGTTTGTTTACAAACAGCTGGGCAACGGAGAAAACCAAATTCGACAGTTCCTACTTTCAGCCAAGCGAAGCAACTCTTTAGTTTTTTTGTGTATATTTTCTTTCTGCTGCGGTGTAAGTTCTTGCACTTTTTGGAATTTCTATGGCTTTACCCCGAGCTCATTTTTCAAGGCTATTTTGAAGGTTCTAGATACATTTTCCCACGGAATAGTTTCGAATTAGGTGTTTAAAACTCGCAATAGATAACCTTTCCTCTCTACACAGAGTTACATTTTGGTATAGCGCCTATATAACGGTTCAATCCACTTTATGATATTTTATAGCCTCCATCATAGTATGGAGGGTATATTAAGTATGTCATTCCGTTTGTAACACCTCGAAATATACATATTAGCCCCACAAAGTATTAAATATTCTTGATCAGCATAAAATTCTATGTCGATTTAACGATGATCGTGCGTCTGTCTGTCCGTCTGTGGCAATCATTCTAGCTTCCGAAAGAATTTAAGTAGGTGTTTTGGTCTACAGAACTTTTGGTATTAAAAATGAGCTATATAGGTCCACGTTTAGGTATAGCTCCCCATATTCGGTATTTTGATGATTTTAGCGACATTGTTTATCGGAATTGTTTCAAATTTCATAATGGGTACTACAGAATGTGACAAAAAAAACTTGTATGCAGATCCAGGTCTTCGTATAGCCCGCACATAACTGTACCTTCTAATTTTCGGTATTTTGATGAATTTAGCTTCATTATTCACCGGAATTGTTTTAAATTTTTTGTGTTTGGTGTGTCTAATAGGTTCTACAGCCTGTGACTGAAAATTTCTATTCAGGTTCAGCAACTGCCTATATGCTGTATTTTGATAATTTTCACCGGAATTCCGATTTTCATTTCCTAATGGGTACTACATCTTGTGACAGAAAATTTGCTATGCAGGTCCGTTTTGTATTTGGATATTGTGATGGCCTATGACAAAAGTTTCCTATGTACACCCACGTTTTCATATGGACCGGAGTATAACTGTAATTCCCTGCATTCTTAAGATTTCAAGAGAATTGTTAATTTTTTTTTTAAATTTCCAAATTCATTCCAAATGGTGGGGAGTATTGTTTTAACTGCATTATCCAACAGGACTCACTGGTATTTGCAGTTGCAAGTGGAACATATTTGAATATTGAATCCCAATACTTTTGTCCATCAAAGTTTTATTTATGTAATTGTGGAGGGTATTGAAAGCCCGAATTTAACTTTTGATACTTGTTGATATTGAAAATGAGACATATAGGTCCAAGATTTTTTGTAGAACCCATATAATGGCATTACCCGATTTAAGGTTTTTATAGCCTTCACCATACATAGTATGGAGGGTATATTAAGTTCGTCATTCCGTTTGTAACTCATCGAAACAATAATTTTAGACCTAACAAAGTATATATATTCTTGATCAGCGTAAAATTCTAAGACGATTAAGACCTGTCCGTCCCTCCGCCGGTTGTAATCACGCTAGAGTAAAAACGAATAATAATTGGAAGCTATAATTCTACACAGATCAGTCTTTTGTGTGGAGGCAGGTCAAGTACGAAGATGGGCTATTATCGGTCCACGATATCGTATGGCACCCCATATAGCGGTACCCCCCGATATTCGGTATTTTTATGATTGCAGCCACCTTTTTTAATGGAATTGTTTGAAATTCTTCACAAGGAGTTCTTTGTGGATACTTTACTGACTGTAAGAGAATTTTCTATATAAGTTCACGATAACGAATAGAACTTTAATCATATTTTTCTAGGTTTTTTTTTTTTTTTAATTTTAATATCGGGACAAATCGGTGGGACAAATGGCTGTCGTCCTACTGTAAATATTTGATTTCTTAGCAAACATAGTTCATTGTGGGTACTTCCGATTGCTCTTGATATTTGTAGCAAAAGCTGTAAGAGAGGCAACGGCTGTTGTGTTAGGAAACACTTGTAATTGTACCATTTAAATAGTTTAATCAACTTTTATGAAAATGTCCTTGATCTCCGAACACATTCTTAAAACCTGTTACATTTTCTGTATATAAGCAGAATTCGTTTCCCAAATCTCTATGAATAATACAATCGCGGTATTTATCTTTGGCATGTTCCTAACATTTGCCATGGCCACTGATTATTGTTCAACAATGTTGTGTCCCAAAAACTATACTCACATCGACTGTGGCGATAAGGTAATCCTTGAAATGTAAACACATTTTTGTAAACTGAGAGATTTTTTCTTAAATATTTAGGAATTCCATTCGACATATCGATGACAAACTAAAAGCTGAAATTGTACGGGCCCACAATGAAAAACGAAACTTCGTTGCTGGAGGTGGAGTCGAACATTTGAAGCCTGCCTGTCGCATGGCAACCTTGGAATGGGATGATGAACTGGCCGAAATTGCCTCCTATAATGTTCTTCAGTGCAAAATGAACCATGACAAATGTCGTAATACTGAAGCTTTCATATATTCGGGTCAAAATTTGGCTTGGAGATCCTATTGGCGCCCAGCAAATATCGCTCGGCTCTTTAGTAATTCTTTTGCTTTGTGGTACAATGAAGTTAAGGATGTTAAAATGGATTTTATTAACTCTTTCCCTCGTGGCTATAAGGGACCGTAAGTGGCACAGGAGATATTGTCTTTAAATATGAACATAAATTAATTTGTTTATTTTGAAAAATTTCAGTGAAATTGGCCACTTCACTGTCATGGTGGCCGATCGTAATATTCGTGTGGGTTGTGCCGCAGCCAGTTATGTAGATATCCGAATTGATGGCGGTAGGCAGATTTTCCTGCTTGCTTGTAATTATGCTACGACAAACATTCTGGAGTTACCCATCTATGCCAACTGCAGTACTGCGGCAACATCATGCTCGAGTGGCACCAATCCCCAGTATCCCAACTTGTGTTCAGTTTCCGAAAAGTACGATGTTAATAAGTGGTATTAAGATAACATATTATTATTCCTAATTGGAGTTATTATACCCTACAACACTATGTGTTGGGGGTATTATAAGTTTGATTGGGCCAAAAATTATGTAACACCTCGAAATATTGATTTCCCACATAGGAAAGTATATATGGATCTTCCTAGCTCGCCGAGCTGAGTCGATCTAGCTATGTATGTCCGTCCGTCCGTCTGTCCGTCTGTCCATGTTAAATTGTAATCACTCTACAGGTCGCAATTATGGCCCGATCTTCACGAAATTTAGAATGTAGGTGGGGCTTGGACCAGAATAGAACCCTATTTATTTTGGAGATGATCGCCAAATACTGAAAAAATGTCGGATTTTGCAGTAGCTATACAGGTCGCAATTATAGACCAATCGACGCGGAATTTTGCTTGTAGCTAGAGTTAAGGGCGGGGAAGAAGCCTACCAATTTGGGTGGTCATCGGATAATATTTAGCGGGTAAATATTATCCGATGTGTTGAAAAAATTCAAAATTTTTCATTAAACCGCGAATATTTTAAATCCCGGCGAAATCATAAAGCCATGACAAGGTTACTTCTGATCTTTACATTGATGTTAACATCCAACAAACCGGATATATAGCAAAATATGTGCGATATATATGTCTACCAAAGAAGATATGCTTGAAAGATGTCTTATATGTCGAGAACGGCTGAACTGATTTCGACTGTTCTCATTAATTCAGAATGGCCTCTTGGCAGGAAAGAAAAAAACGTCTAAAAGATCGCATAAAAATATCTCTCTAAAGATGAAAATATTGATTTTGTAATATTTTCTCATATTTTTTCAATTTTGTCATATTTTTGGCATATTTTCATTTTGAATTAAACATTTGGTAATATTTCTACAGCTAACAAAACTAAGTTGTTGAGATATCAGGATATCATATACAGATCGCATTTATGTCCCGATCCTTACGAAATTTTGTATGGGGATAAGATGAGGGTCAGAATAGAAGCCTACTCTTTTTGGAGATGATCGCCATATATTTAGGGGTTTGAATGGACCAAAAAACTGCAAAATTGTCGGTAGGTCGTAATTATCGCTCGATCCTCACGCACATTTGAATGGGGTTACCGCACATTGCAAAAGCCAAGCAGTTTCGGATGGCCATAAAAAAATATTCAATGTGTGAAATAGTTTGCCAACTTTTGTAGACAAAATACGAAAATATACATTCCAGTGACTTTTTGGAGAATTCACAAATACAGGAAAGACGCACTTCTGACTATTTCGTTAACGCTGATTTCGTTGAAGATTATAGTCAAATGTCTGTATCTCATATAGATGCGTTTCAGTCAAAAACCAATAATAAATGTTAATCTTTTGCCACTTCTGAGAGATTATAGGTCTTTGGGAAATATTGGTTCCAGATCTAGGAAGACCATTTAAGTGCAACATCTACAAATAAATTGGAAATGAGCATTAGTTTAAGTTGCTATTATTCGAAAATTAGAGAACGGAACCTGATGGTTTTCTTTTATTTTTTGTCACAATATCTTGTGGAATTCTTTCAAGTATCTCGCCTATATAAACTGTATCCTTTATTATAGTGTTGTAGGGTATTCAACGGTCGGCCCCGCTCGACTGTAGCCTTTGCTTACTTGTTTTTATGTATATGATTATGTTTTGATTAATTGTAAATAAATAAAAAATAAATTAATTAAATAATTTTTACGAGTCGAAGCTCTCCAAGATAATTCCCAGTTGCCACGGAACATTTTCTGCATTAACGGACAACCTGAGGCTTTAATTCACAGATGTTGTTTCCAACTGTTTTTCGCCCTCTCTGCCTCCACAATTAGGTCACTTGCTTAATGTCCAGTGGTTCAGCGGCTATTTACTACCACCGAACTGTTTCCCAAGGTGTTAATGGAATGAGGAATATGTCCAAAAAGAAGTAGGTTATAATCACCAAAAATTAGCGGCCATAATCCCCATAATAATAATGACCCATTATCCAAAATTATTGCGGATACTAACCCCATTATGGGGTAAGTTTTATAACATGATTAAGGTAAAGGAACTTTTTCGTGGGGGAAATACCCGGTTATTCAGTTCTACAAAACTGTACAAAATGGGTATCATTTGGAAGCTTTGGGTATAACCCTCGAAAAAATAACACTGCCGTAATCAGGTTAAAAACACCTAACTGTGATAAATATTTCAGGTTAAACCCAGCATAGCCCAAAAACTCAACTTAAGCCCTGTTTCCTATCTGGGGATTATGCCCGAATATTTTTCGGACATAATCCCCACAGCAAACGGCCATACTCTCCATGGGGACTATATCCATTTTGGAACCGGAGATAATCGTCACTTTATTATGGGGGTTATTTTAAGTTAATGTACCATCTTCTTCCCCGCATGCTCTACAAAAGTATTAGAAGCCTTGGGCGCGCAAACATTTTGACCGTAGACCTTGGACAACAAAATGAGGTTCCTTGCTTCATTTCCAGCGCACAATGGCTACCAAAATCTCCGGATACCAATCCGTTGGGCTATTGTGTCTGGAGTATTTTGGAAAGCAAGGCTGGCAAGGTTGTAAAATTTGATGCTATTTCCGAGATTTTTTTCTTTTATTCAATAAAATTTAAAAAAAAAATTAAGCAAGTAAAAAGCTGTAAGTTCAGCCGGGCCGAACTTTGAATACTCTCCACCATTTGGTAAAAAATTTGGCAATTTAAAAAAAAATAAAATCCTTTAAAAATTCTGTTAAAATCTTAAAAATACCGAATGTAGCCATATATTAGGTTCTGTACGACGACGTGGGCCTGCATAGGCAACTTTTCTCACAAGCTATTACAATATTCAAATGCGAAACTTGAAAAAAATCTGTTTATAATATAGCTAAAATCATCAAAATTCCGAATATAGGGAAGAACCATGGGAGTTGTAAAACGTGAACCTGCACAGACAATTTTTTGTCATAGGCTGTAGTATCCATTACGAACTTCAAATGCGAAATTTGAAACAATTCCGGTAAATAATGTCACTAAAATCATGGGGCCATACGAAGAAATGGACCTGCACAGACCATTTTCTCTTTTATGCTGTAGTATATATTACGAACTTCAAATAACAAATTTGAAATAGTTCTGGTAAATAATATCACTAAAATCATCAGAATACCGAATATCGGGGGGTACCGTTATATGGGGGCTACACGAAGAAGTTTATGCTGTAGTATCTATGACGAACTTCAAATATAAAATTTGAAACAATTCCGGTAAAAAATGTCGCTAAAATCATCAAAATACAGAATATCGGGGGTACCGTTATATGGGGGCTATACGAAGACGTGGACCTACATGGCCCATTTTTAATACCAAAAGTTCTGCAGACATAATACACATTTGAGTAAAATTTTATCAACCTACTTCATTTCGTTCGGAAGCTAGAGTGATTTCCACAGACGGACAGACGGACGGACATTGATAAATCGACATAGAATTTTATGCTGATCAAGAATGTATATACTTTATGGGGTCTAAAATGTATATTTCGAGGTGTTACAAACGGAATAACAAACTTAATAAACCCTCCATACTATGGTGGAGGGTATAAAAATATTGGCGTTTGACTTTGTTGTAGTTTTTTTTTATCTCACCCTGCATAATCTAGATCAGCATAAAATTCTATGTCCATTTAGCGATGTTTGTCTGTCGATCTGTGGAAATCACACTAAAATTTTACGCAAATGTATAATATGTCTGCAGGACTTTTGGTATTGAAAATGGTCTATTCAGGCCCACGCTTTGGAACAGCCCCCATATAAGTGTGCCACCAAATGTTCGGTATTTTGATGATTTTAGCGACATCATTCAGTGGTATTTAAAGTTCCTAATGGGTACTACAGTCTATGACATAAAATTTAAAAAATTAATAAAATTAAAATTTTTATAATTTCGTATAAAGTTTCGAATTTGAGTATCATAATGGCCTTTAACAAAAATTTTATATACAGACCCACGTCTTCGTATAGGCCACAATATAACGGTAACTAACAATATTCGAAATTTTTATTGTTTGAGCATTAATATTCAAGGAATTTCTTTTTTGTTTTTTTGAAAATTTGCAAATTTTTTTCGAATTTGTATTAAAAGTTCAGCCCGGCTGGCGATTTGATTTTCAAAAAAACAAAAAAAACAAGTAAGCAAAGGCTACAGGCGAGCGGGACCGACCGTTGAATACGCTACAACATTATAATAAACGATACAGTTCATATAGGTGAGATACTCGAAAGAATTCCGCAAGATATTGTGACAAATAATAAAAGAAAACCATCAGGTTTCGTTCTCTAATTTTCGAATAATAGAAACTTAAACTAATTTGCTCATTTCCAATTTATTGGTAGATGTTGTACTTAAATGGTCTTCCTAGATCTGGAACCAATATTTCCCAAAGACCCATAGTCTCTCAGAAGTGGCAAAAGATTAACATTTATTATTGGCTTTTGACTGAAACGCATCTATATGAAATACAGCCATTTGACTATATTCTTCAACTAAATCAGCGTTAACGAAATAGTCAGAAGTGCGTCTTTCCTGTATTTGTGAATTCTCCATATTCACTGGAATGGAGATTTTCGTATTTTGTCTACAAAAGTTGGCAAACTATTTCACACATTGAATATTTTTGGATGGCCATCCAAAACTGCTTGGCTTTTGCAATGTGCGGTAACCCCCATTCAAATGTGCGCGAGGATCGGGCGATAATTACGAACTGCTGACAATGTTGCATTTTTTTGGTCCATTTCAACCTCTAAATATATGGCGATCATCTCCAAAAAGAGTAGGCTTCTATTCTGACCCTCATCTTATCCCCATGCAAAATTTCGTAAGGATCGGGCCATAAATGCGATCTGTATATGATATTCTGATATCTTAACTACTTAGTTTTGTTAGCTGTAGAAATATTACCAAATGTTTAATTCAAAATGAAAATATGCCAAAAATATGACAAAATTGAAAAAATATGAGAAAATATTACAAAATCAATATTTTCATCTTTATAGAGATATTTTTATGCGATTTTTTAAGACGTTTTTTCTTTCCTGCCAAGAGGCCATTCAGAATTAATGAGAACTGTCGAAATCAGTTCAGCCGTTCTCGACTTATAAGAGATCCTTCAAGCATATCTTCTTTGATAGGCATATATGTCGCACATATTTTGCTATATATCCGGTTTGTTGGATGTTAACATCAAAGTAAAGGTCAGAAGTAACCTTGTCATGGCCTTGTGATTTCGCCGGGATTTAAAATATTCACGTTTTAATGAAAATTTTTGATTTTTTTCAACACAAAAGATATGGTCTATTTTACCCGCTAAATATAATCCGATGACCACCCAAATTGGTAGGCTTCTTCCCCGCCCTAAACTCTAGCTACATGCGAAATTCCGCGTCGATTGGTCTATAAATGCGACCTGTATAGCTACTGCAAAATCCGACATTTTTTCAGTATTTGGTCCATTTCAACCCCTAAACATTTGGCGATCATCTCCAAAAGAAATAGGGTTCTATTCTGACATTAACCCCACCTCCATACTAAATTTCGTGAAGATCGGGCCATAATTACGACCTGTAGAGTGATTACAAATTAACATGGACAGACGGACGGACGGACATACATAGCTAGATCGACGCAGCTCGGCGAGCTAGGAAGATCCATATATACTTTCCTAAGTGGGAAACCAATATTTCGCGGTGTTACATAATTTTTGGCCCAATCAAACTTATAATACCCCCAACACATAGTGTTGTAGGGTATAAAAATTATAAAAAGCTATTTGATTGAAAATTCGTTCTTATTGTTTCTGAATAATTCATTAACACAATAGTCAGTTATAAAAAAATACCATAGATATAATTAGTTTCTGAAAAATGTGTTTTTTTTTTGTGAATTGAGTTCTGCGAAAATTATTTTTTTTTTTTCATTATTTTGCTTTTATGAAATTTCCTTCTTTATTTTATTGTATTTTTCTCTTCTTTGGCTATGTTATCTATTCTGAGTAATTTTTTAGATTTCTTAGTCAGAATGCAGATTGAGCTCTAAACCCATTTATCCCTCAAATGAAAACATTGTGAATCACTATAAAGCATACATATGTACATAACATGATGTCTATCAAGATACATTCATGTATGTCGACCAACATGAAAATGTTTCGACATTCTTTATAGCACAGTGATAACAATAATCACCCCAAAGCCATAAAGATAAATAAGGAAGTAACTAGACATATATGTGCTCTACCTATCCCACCATTCTCTAAGCTTAACACTTCCCGAAAAACATAGTTCATAAACATTTGATAAGACGTGGGAATATTTCTGCAGTAATCTAGATAGAAGGGGAAAATTTTGTTTGAAAACATTTGTAGTTGTAATATTTACATTCGCTTATTTACCTACTTTGTAATGACCTTGATATCCATACACATATCTCTGAGATACCTGTCAAAATTTAACTATTTAAGAAGAGACTTTCGGGGAAATCTTTATCAGTCAACCACAGGAAAGAGTCTGTATTACAAGTTAGAATGAAACACTACATCGCAGTTTTAATTATCGGTTCTGTCCTTGCACTTGCAACGGCCACCGACTATTGTTCATCCGATTTGTGTAATAAAGGAGTAACACATGTTGCCTGTGGACCTAAAGTAAGTAGGAAGACGTAAGGCCTATTTTGCACTGCTGTCCTTTGGAATTTCAATTAAATGTTATATACGTTTACATATATGGTAGAATTATTGAAAATAAATTTGCTTTCCAGGAATTTTCCTCCTCGTGTCCCTCGAATGCCGCCTTCGTTTCAATTGATGACAAATTAAAAGCTGAAATTGTCAAGGCTCACAATGAAAAACGAAATTTAGTAGCTGGCGGTGGTGTTAATGGTCTTGAACCTGCCTGTCGTATGGCTACCATGGAATGGGATGGCGAATTGGCTGAGGTTGCTGCCTATAACGTTCTGCAATGTAAGATGTCTCATGACAAGTGCCGTAATACGGAAACCTTCAAATATGCTGGACAAAATTTGGCTTGGAGATCCTATTGGGGCAAACCTAATTACAGTTCACTTTTCGGAAAATCTTTTGACATGTGGTACAATGAGGTAAAGGATGTTAAAATGGATTACATCAAGGATTTCCCAAAGGGCTATAGTGGACCGTAAGTTAAAAATTAAGGAGTTAAACTTTTGATGATATTTAAATTTTAATTTTTTTTAGGGATATTGGTCATTTCACTGTTATAATGGCCGATCGCAATATTCGTGTGGGTTGTGCTGCTGCCACATATAAGGACTCAGGAGACAAACAAATCTTCTTGGTTGCCTGCAATTATGCCACCACCAATATGGTGGGTAACCCCATCTATGCCAATTGCAGTTCTCCAGCCAGTAAGTGTGAGACTGGTAAAAATTCACAATATTCCAATTTGTGTTCTTCATCGGAAAAGTATGACGTTAATAAATGGCAGTGAAAGAAACTATACTTAGTGGTGTTACTGTTCTTTGGCATTTGTTATTTCGTTATAAAATATGAAAATAAAGAAACATACATTCGTAAAAACAATTAAAAATCATGGTTTTTACTTTTTGCAAACTTTTTAACTTCCGCCATAAATTTGACATTACCAATCAAGTTTTAAATTTTAAATAGATTCAGCTTTGTCCGTCAATCTGATTGAACAGAACAGAATCCACATTATTTTATCTAAGTCTGTGAAATTTGCCCCAAAAAAAGTATGTATTTGTCATGTGGCCTTATCGGTCCTTATATCCAGAGGAATTGACTGTATTTTGATTTGAGGATTCTCCCTAAGTACAATTTTCGATGTTATTTTTATTAACTAGCATTATACATACAATTAACTAATAATCATAATGATATCTTTCATGTCAGCAAGTACCAAATATGGCAGTATCAAATTAAGATTTTATGTTCCGTTTTCCACCCAGATTCCTGTTTTTATACCCTCCACCAAAGAAAGTATGGAGGGTATATTAAGTTCGTCATTCCGTTTGTAACTCATCGAAATAATCATTTTAGACCCAACAAAGTATATATATTCTTGATCAGCGTAAAATTCTAAGACGATTTAGCCCTGTCCGTCCGTCTGTCCGTCTGTTGTAATCACGCTACAGTCTTCACGAATTAATATAGGAAGCTAAAATTTTGCACAGATCTCTTTTTTGTCTGCAGGCAGGTCAAGTTCGAAGATGGGCTATATCGGTCCCCATATAACGGTACCCCCGATATTCGGTATTTTGATGATTTTAGCCACACTTTTCAATGGAATTGTCTGAAATTCCCCAAAAGGAGTCCCTTGTGGACATTTTATCCCCTCAAAAAGAATTGTCTATATCGTATATCCCCCATATAACTGTACCCCCCGATATTCGGTATTTTGATGATGTTAGCCACATTTTTCAATGGAATTGTCTTAAAATCCACACAAGTAGTTCCTTGTGAGTACTTTACTCCCTGAGAGAGAATTGTCTCTACAGGTCCACGATATCGTATATCCCCCATATAACGGTACCCCCGATATTCGGTATTTTAATAATTTTACCCACATTGTTCATCGGAATTGTCCGAAAATCCACACAAAGAGTTCCTTGTGTATACTTTATACCTCGGCAGAGAATTATCTATATAGGTCCACCATATCGTATAGCCCCCATATAACGGTACCCCCGAAATTTGGTATTTTGATGATTTTATCCACATTTTTCAATGGAATTGTCTGAGATTCCACAAAAGGAGTGCCTTGTGGGCATTTCACCCCCTCAAAAAGAATTGTCTATATAGGCCCACGATATCGTATATTCCCCATATAACTGTACCCCCCGATATTCGGTATTTTGATGATGTTAGCCACACTTTTCAATGGAATTGTCTTAAAATCCACACAAGTAGTTCCTTGTGAGTACTTCACCCCCTGAGAGAGAATTGTCTATACAGGTCCACGATATCGTATATCCCCATATAACGGTACCCCCTATATTCGGTATTTTGAGGATTTTAGCCATATTTTCCTATGGTATTGTCTGAAAATCCACACAAGGAGTTCTTTGTGAGCACTTTAACCTCTGAAAGGTATTTGTCTATATAGGTCCACAATATCGTATATCCTCCCATATATCGGCACCTTCCGATATTAGATATTTTAAAGATTTTAACAGAATTTTTAATGAATTTTAGTTTTTGAAAATTTTGTAATTCGTTCCAAATGGTGGAGGGTATTCAAAGTTCGTCCTAGCCGAACTTACTGCTTTTTTACTTGTTTTTTTCTATTTTGGTAATAATAATTACCATATTCTAATAATTTAATAATAGAACAGTGTGGCTTGTTTGTTCGGGATACCGTAGTATTTTGTTGTTGCAAAATGGTCTGGCTTTATCCCTTTATTGTTGTTTTTATAAAAACAACGTTTGTTTATTAGTGGAGAACGATGGTAATGTTTACCAGGGGGTAAGGCAGGGAATACCTAGGTTTCGGAAAGAGCCACCAATCGTCATCAGTTCCCTTCTTTTTGTCTGGGATATTCTCCCCAGAAGTTATTTTAAAAACAAGTAAGCAAAGGCTACAGTCGAGCGGGACCGACCGTTGAATACCCTACAACACTATAATAAACGATACCGTTCATATAGGTGAGATACTCGAAAGAATTCCGCAAGATATTGTGACAAATAATAAAAGAAAACCATCAGGTTTCGTTCTCTAATTTTCGAATAATAGAAACTTAAACTAATTTGCTCATTTCCAATTTATTGGTAGATGTTGTACTTAAATGGTCTTCCTAGATCTGGAACCAATATTTCCCAAAGACCCATAGTCTCTCAGAAGTGGCAAAAGATTAACATTTATTATTGGCTTTTGACTGAAACGCATCTATATGAAATACAGCCATTTGACTATATTCTTCAACTAAATCAGCGTTAACGAAATAGTCAGAAGTGCGTCTTTCCTGTATTTGTGAATTCTCCATATTCACTGGAATGGAGATTTTCGTATTTTGTCTACAAAAGTTGGCAAACTATTTCACACATTGAATATTTTTGGATGGCCATCCAAAACTGCTTGGCTTTTGCAATGTGCGGTAACCCCCATTCAAATGAGCGCGAGGATCGGGCGATAATTACGAACTGCTGACAATGTTGCATTTTTTTGGTCCATTTCAACCTCTAAATATATGGCGATCATCTCCAAAAAGAGTAGGCTTCTATTCTGACCCTCAACTTATCCCCATGCAAAATTTCGTAAGGATCGGGCCATAAATGCGATCTGTATATGATATTCTGATATCTTAACTACTTAGTTTTGTTAGCTGTAGAAATATTACCAAATGTTTAATTCAAAATGAAAATATGCCAAAAATATGACAAAATTGAAAAAATATGAGAAAATATTACAAAATCAATATTTTCATCTTTAGAGAGATATTTTTATGCGATCTTTTAGACGTTTTTTTCTTTCCTGCCAAGAGGCCATTCTGAATTATTAATTAATGAGAACTGCCGAAATCAGTTCAGCCGTTCTCGACATATATGAGATCTTTCAAGCATATCTTCTTTGATAGACATATATATCGCACATATTTTGCTATATATCCGGTTTGTTGGATGTTAATATCAAAGTAAAGGTCAGAAGTAACCTTGTGATGGCCTTGTGATTTCGCCGGGATTTAAAATATTCACGTTTTAATGAAAAATTTTGATTTTTTTCAATACAAAAGATATGGTCTATTTTACCCGCTAAATATAATCCGATGACCACCCAAATTGGTAGGCTTCTTCCCCGCCCTAAACTCTAGCTACATGCGAAATTCCGCGTCGATTGGTCTATAATTGCGACCTGTAGAGCAAGTGCAAACTCAGGAATTTTTCAGTTTTTGGTCCATTTCAACCCCTAAATATTATGCGATCATCACCAAAAGAAATAGGGTTCTATTCTGACCCTAGCCCCACCTCCATTTTAAATTTCGTGAAGATCGGTCCATAATTGCGGCCTATAGCGTGATTACAAATTAACATGGACAGACGGACAGACGGACGGACGGACATACATAGCTAGATCGACTCAGCTCGGCGAGCTAGGAAGATCCATATATACTTTCCTATGTGGGAAACCAATATGTTGTTAGGTGTTACATAATTTTTGGCCCAATCAAACTTATAATACCCCCAACACATAGTGTTGTAGGGTATAAAAACACGTAATTTTCACTTGTAATACATAAATTTCGAATGTTATTTTCTTAGAAGTTTATACAGAGGTTAGCAATGAAATTTTGTAAAGGATATTTCTTCTTTTGACGCCTTATGTTTAAAACGACAGTTTATGTCACATTCCGGCGACAAGTCAATAAAAGCCGAGAAACAATTAGGACATATTTTCGGTTTTTCTTTTTTTTTTTGCAACTATTTTTATACCCACCACCTTGGAAAGGAGGGCATATTAAATCTGTCATTTCGTTTATAACATATCTAAATATTCGCTATTGACCCCATAAAGTATATACATATTCATGGTCAGAATAAAATTCTAAGTCGATTTAACAATATCCGTCTGTATGTCCCATTATTTGACGAAGAGCTTACAATTTGGCACCGTTGTATGCTTTGTGTCTAGGTTGGTATTGAAAATCGTCGAAGTTTTGGGATAGCCCCCATATTATGGTACCTCCCGATATTCGGTATTTTGATGGTTTTACCCTAATTTGTCTAAAAATTGGTATTTGTAGCTCGTCATAGATCGTAGCCCCGGTGGCAGAACATTGATTATCTAGGTCCACTTTTTCCTATAGCGCACATATCACATTTCAGTCTTATATTCGGCATTTTAACTATTTAAGCCACATTTTCTAATAGATTTGTGTGAAATTTAGTATTTGTACTTCAAAATGGGTTCTACAACCGGCATCAAAATATTGTCCATATTGGTCCTAGTCATCATAGTCACATTTACCCACGAAATAATGTAAAATTCGGTATTTAAGACTCGCAAGAAATAACAATCGTTGAAGTATAGACAAAACCCTAAATTTTAAAAAAACATACCTAATTTGGTCGATTGTTATGAATGCAACTTTCCCGCTACTTCGTAAGCGAAGTTGTAGATTTTTTCACAATTTGTTCAGTTTGAAAAAAATTCAATCCACAATTTATACATCGTACTAAGTTACAGACTTTCCATTTTTATACTCTCCACCATAGTATGGAGGGTATATTAAGTTTGTCATTCCGTTTGTAACACCTCGAAATATACATTTTAGTCTCCACAAATTCTTGATCAGCATATAATTCTATGTCGATTAAGCGATGTCTGTCGGTCCGTCTCTGGAAATCACTTTAGTTTTCGAACGAAGAGAAGTAGCTTGATAACATTTTACTCAATTGTATATTATGTCTACAGGACTTTTGGTATTGAAAATCGTTGAAGTATAAATTTAGGTAGGTCCACGTTTTGGCATAGCCCCTATATAATG